CACATGTGTAATCAAAGCAAGGTTTTGCAGTCTCCTACAACCCCACACCTTCTGGTGGTGGTTTTTTTATAGGTCCCAAACCGAAGCACGGCGCATCAGCAGTGGAAACATCTCACCTTAAAATGGCTGACAGTTCACACACCAGAGCTCTCAGCTCCTGCTCTCCTGTGGTGTTTGCTTTTCCTTTGCCTTGTGATGGCTCTGCTCAGACCACAAGGTCTCCTGAAGCACATTTGTGGTGCCTGGGCTGCAGAAGGCTAAGAGGGACGTGGATGAGAAATGTGTGAGTCCTGGGGTCCAGCCTGCTCACGCCCCGGGAGGGAACATGGATCTGCAAAGTGTAATTACAGAGCAGCCTGGGCAGCCACCTTCGTCCAGATGGCAGAAATCTGGTGTGGAGAAGGGAGCTGCGGGTCTCCCAGCTCTGTGCACACCTCAATCAGTGTCTCCCTGGGGCACACAGAAGTCCTCAGCACCCTGGGTTCCTGCGAGGGTCTCGTGGTGCCTGCGGGTCCAGCAGTTGGGGCATGAGTGCCTGGATGCTGCCAAGCAAGGAACCTGCCCTCCCAGGCTCCCCCTTTCGTTTTTTTTGGGATAAAGAATGAGATTTCACTCAGCCTCCTGCTGCAGGGCTGCCAGCATGTCCAAGGGGCCAGCAGCCTGCCTGCCATGTGCTGTCACCTCCCTGCTGGGGCATCCACCAGCACAGGGCACTCAGTCGTGGTCCCCTCTCCTCAACAGCCACTGCCAGAGAGGAGGAAACAGCCAAGAGGTCTTGTCTGAAACAGGGTGAGTGGGGGAAACGAGAGGTGGGCAACAAGCCTGGAAGGGGGGTGAGATGTCCCTCTGGGACCAGCACTTTGGCTCCTGCAGGCAGTCATGGAGCTGCAGGCCCCTGCCCAGACACAGCCTCCAGCCCTGGCAAGCAGCATCCCCAGGGGGCTCTCCCAGGTTTGTAGGGTTCTACTCAAACCCCCTCTGGTTTTGGCTTTGCACCAGAGTCCATCGTGGCCAGACCCTGTCACCCCTCACTGCCAAGACCTGTCCCTTTGTCCTGAGTCACAGAAACACTCACTGGCCCTGTGAGGTGTCTGCTCTTGCCTGGCAGCAGGCTGTAAACTGGGGCCACTGGGCAGCTGGCTTTCATGAGGCAGTGAGGTCCCAGCTTCTCACTGGTTTGCTGTGGCACGAGCTCCCCTTGGACGTGCACGAGCAGCTGAGCTGCATCCTCCTGGGGCCAAGCCCTTCGTGTGTCTCCCTGACCAGGTTTAGGTGAAAGCTGTGGCAGGCAGGATGCACTTTCATACTGGAGATAATCCAGTTCTCTTACTGGGTCTGGCACCAGTTCAGTCACAGTAAAATTGGTTGCATGTTGTGTTGGGTTGTTAGCTGGAAACCAGAGCGTCCTGTGATGCTGAGCAGAGGCTGTGAGGTGTGGAGGAGCCCTGTGAGAAGGGTGGGAGGTGACCTTGGCACAGCCCTGGGGGTCATGGGGACTGCCCTGATGGGCAGAAGGAGGTGGGAGCTGGAGAAGCACCACTGGAGAGCAGGATCCCTGCATCCTTCCTCAGAGCTCTAAAATCCCACTTGCAGTGAAATATCTGACTTTGTATTTTCCCTGTCAAGTCTCCTCTGAAGTGGGTGTGGGTTTGAGCACGTCCAGTTTGTAGAGGTCATTAGAAAAGGCACTTGCTTTGCATGAAGTTGAAAAAACATCAGATGGGTTTAATTTCCCTCATCTACCCACGATTTCTCAAACAAAATTTTTAATCACCTATACTTAGACAATGCCAAATCTATTATCATTAAAATCTATGAGCACCAGTTGCTTTTTTTTAAGAAAAACCATAAAACTTCAATCACAGGGAGAGGGAGGAAAACCCCATGGGAACTTGTTTTTGCTGAAAAGTGTGTTTTGGCAGGAGCATTTCAGCCAGCACTGATGTTCTGAGCACATCAATCCAGTGCCTGCCCTTGCAGGTCGCTGCTATTTTGACCTCCTGAGAAGAAGCTGCTTGTCCCATGTCCCCTGCACTGAAGGGCCGTGGGCAGCACCCAGCTGAGGGGGTTTTGGGGGTGAACTGGCACCCGAGGAGTGGCCCAGGGGGCTGACCCAGGGAGGACTCAGTACAACACTTGCTGGAGAAGCTGAGTCTGGGCTCGTTGGCCTGCCAGAGAAATGAGCCCGTGGAATCAGAGCTCCTCAATTATTCATGTTTTCCAGAATCACATTATTTCTTCCAGGGCCTGTTTTCTAAATGCTGCTGCTATTTCTGATGGTAAATAACAATTTTGCATTATTTATGAAGAGATTTTTACAACTGCTGATGTTCCAGCTGCTGCCAATGCACTGGGAGAGTCGTTATTGCTGTTTTGTTGTGGTTTCTTTCTGACAACACAACCCTCTTGCTCTTCACGTGACACTGAGGATGTGCCTGTACTGGTGCCACCACCGAGTGCTCCCCGAGTGAGGAAGAGGGTGAAGATGCCAGTGGGTGGCTCAGGTTGCTGTGGAGCTCAGCTCTGAGGGAGGGGTCTCAGAGCTGGGGGGTCTGGGGCAGCGACGGGAGGCACGTGGGGTGTCTTGATGGAAAGAGCCCCAGAGAGCTGCTGAAGGACCTGGAGGTGAATCCCTGGGGAATTCTGCAGGATGTCACCTGCTCCCAGCTGAGCAGGACAGGACAGGTCAGGTGCCCTCTTCAGCCACCACCTCAGCAGCACTGGGTGTTGGGGGTGAGCTCTGCTCCTCTGGCCCCACAGTGGGACCCCAGCGTTTCATTTCCTTGCAGTGAGGGAGCATTTTGGGAGAGCCTGGGTGTGTGATCCCCTGGAGCAATGTCACACCACAGCTTAGGGGTCTCCAGGCTGGGTCCCACACGTTGTTCCTCCTGCACATCTTGGAGTAGCCCAGGGATGGCAGCTAAATTAGCCAGCAGGCTTCAGAACTTCACCACCCTGTGTCGGGTGGTGGATTTTGAGTGCTAGAAGCAATAGGAGTCTGCTGTCACCAACAGCTCCTGGCTAAAAGGGTTTAAAGACAAGGTTGTCCTGCTGGCAGGTTTCTGGAGGTGGGAGTGAGTGTGGTGCAGCCTGCAGGTCCATTGTGTGCTTGCAGATCTCAGCATGAGGACCTGGTGGCAAAGTCCCAGGCGTGGGGTGCTGGGGGAGATGCTTGCAGGAGCTCCTGCAGCCTGAGGTAGGATGTACTCCAGAGGCCATGTCTGCTTCTCCTCATCATTTATTCTGTCTGCTTCTGCTCATCTTTTATTTCAGGTGACACCCTACAGAGGAAAAAAAAATATCCCTCACCAATCCCATCCCATTTTAGTGATTCAGTCTCTGGCAGATCCATCTCTTTGTTCTCCAGTTTGGAGGAGACTTAGTGGAGACAGTCTGAGACATGTTTGCTAATGGGACATTTGCATTTGCAGAATCATAAGATCACAGAATGGTTTGGGTTGGAAAGGACCTTAAAGATCACCTTGTTCCAGCCCCTCTGCCCTGGGCAGGGACACCTCCCACTAGACCAGGCTGCTCAGTGAACACCTTGAACCAACCAACCTGCCCTTGAACACCTCCAGGGCTGGGGCATCCACAGCTTCTCTGGGCTCAGCTTCACCTCAGCCCTGGAGGAGAGAAATCTGCCTGAAATGCTCCAGGGCAGGCAGGAGTGAGAGGTGTGGCTGCTGCTGGGGAGGAGGTGTCTGTGGGGGTGTGCTGGAGAGGGGGTAGAGCTGGCTGGCTGGTTTGTTCATCCTGGCTTCTGCTCCGGGGTACCCAGCCCTGCTAAGGCTGCACTGGGGGCAGCGTGGGGCTCTCGGAGGTGGGCACAGCCGTGGCACAGGGGGGACTTTGCCAAGGCCCCCAGCTGCAGTTTATGGTGTGGCTTCTCAGCAGCCCCCTCTGCCAGTCGCTGCCTCGCTGCTCTCGCTGCTGCAGAACATGGAGTGAGGAGCCCAGGGCAGGGGCTCCACCCTACCCCCAGCCCCACTGCTGGGGGGCAGCGGCCATGGGGGGGACTCTGCTCTCTCTGCCTGCGTGCCTGGGCTCCAGCTGAGTCCCAGGAGTTGTGCAGGGATGGTGCTGGCAGCCAGGCACCAGTCAGAGCTTCACAGCCTTGGCCTCCCTCCTGTCAGGCGCTGTGCAGAGACAGAAGGTCTCCCCTGAGCCTCCTTTGCTCCAGGCTCAGCACCCCCAGCTCCCTCAGCTGCTCCTCCCCACACTTGGGCTCTAGACCCTTCCCCAGCTCTGTTGCCCTTCTCTGGCCACTCTCCAGCTTACCTGAGCATACAGCATCGTGGTTGGCATTAATTTGGGCAGGTGGCTGGGTGCTGCAGGGGCAGGAAACACACTCAGGTCCCAGCAGTGAGACCTGGGCAGCCACCAGTGACCCCACTGCCCTTTTGTCCCTCTTGGGGCCAAAACCAGGTCACTGGGTAACGGATGCAGACGCTGCATCCATCGAGCCCTGCTAAGCCAGGTGAAAAGTCACCCTGTGGTTCACGGGCTGTCCCTGTGCCCTGCTGAGCCCAGGTGAGCTGCTCCCCACCTCCCCACGCTGCCATGTCCCATCCCCTCTCCACTGAGCCTCCAGCCCTCGCCTGGCCCAGCCTGCTCACACCTCAGTGATCCTCTCTAGGTCCACTTCTCCCCACCCCACAGTGCCACGAGGGCGTTTATGGGGCACAGCCTGGCCGTGGGGAGCAGCAAGACTGTGCAGAGACTCAGCCCATCTGTTTATTTTTTTTCTGGAGAATAAAATCTCTTCAAAGACTGCAGACCCAGGGGCTGAGAGGCAGACAGTCTCCCAGCAGAGGAGGACCTGGGTACCATCCACCAGCCCCTTGCTTTGGGCCACCAACCAGGCACGAGTGGGGCTCCGTCTTCCAAACGCCGCGTTGCCATGGAGCCCAAGAAGGGCTTGAATCCAATTATGCTGCTGTTGGAAGAGAGAGTGAACTGTAAACAGCAGCGAGTTGTGCTTTCTCCTTCCTTCACAGATCTTCTCCATCGTGGTGTTCGGCTCCATCGTGAACGAGTGCTATGTGAACAGGGACAGCCAGAGCTCCGAGCTGCTCTGCATCTTCAACGAGAACGAGAGTGCCTGCAGCTACGGCATCGCCGTGGGCCTCATGGCCTTCTTTGGCTGCATCTTCTTCTTCGTGGTGGACCTGCAGTTCCAGCAGATCAGCAGCGTGAAGGACCGCAAACGGGCCGTGCTGCTGGACCTGGGCTTTTCAGGTACCTCTCTGCCTTTGCTGGGCTTGCAGAGGACTCTGGGCAGCACGGGGTTGTTGCTCTCCCCTCTCCTCCCCCAGCGTGGGGCACACGACTCAGTGGCTCAGTTAGGGAGGACAAGGCTGGGGGGGGGTTGTCCCACCACCCGTGAGCTGGGGCAGCAGGGAGGAAGCTGGTGTGTGGTGGCCTGGGGACAGTGGGGTGTCCCACTCTGCCTTGCTTCAGCAACCAGAGGGACCAGAACCAGCTGAGCTGGGTTCAGTGAGGCCACCCAGGGGATGGAGGTTTGGCCACAGAGACCACGTGAGGTGTTTTATCCTCTCACATCTCCTGTAGCTGGCTCAGGCAAGTGTTGTTTCCTCAGCTACGTCTGGGTCTGTTCACTTGGTGCATGTATGTTCTAGGACAGAGCAGACACACAGGTCCACACACCCCTGGGATCCCCCACTGCCTCCTGGCCTGTGGTGTGCAGGTGGGCCTGGGGCTCCCACGGGCTGGCACGGATCTTCTGCACCATGCCCAGCCCCTGGACCTGGGACTGATCCACGTGAACACGAGTGAGTGGGATCCCTTGAGCTGGGAGAGGCCAGCCTCCACTCTGTGGCTGTGAGAGCTGCCTGGCTGGGCTTGCAGCTCATGTTCTCCCTTTCCAGGCTCTTGTGTTAGCAGAGTCTGAAGGTGATTTATCCAGCAGAAGCGTTGCTGATGGCTCACTGGTCCCAAATGAAAACATCCATCATCCCCTCCCTGCTCTTGCCTGTTGTTAAGGATGCTCTCACTAGAAAGTTTATTTCCATGGTGCCACAGCACCGGCGTCCAGCCCTTGTTAGGTGACATTTACAGCCCCTTCCACAGGGCTCACTGCCCACAGCCCTTCGAGGCACAGGCCAGGGGAACATCACATCCATCCTCTGGCTGCTGCTGTGTGGCAAGGGGGGATCCTCCCTGCCTCCCACCTCGCCAGGCCCTGGCTGCCCTGCCAGGCCCCCCTGCAGCAGTGCCACACTCACCTCAGCCTCATTCAGCAGAATGAGAACCTGTCTGGAGAAGACAGGTCCTGCCCTGCAGAGCCTCTGCCATGCAGGGCTTGTGCTCAGCCCTGGGGCCAGGCTGTGGTGTCACACCAGAGGTCTGTGGTGATGTTTTACCCCCCTGGGTCACCCTGGGTTAGTGTGTGTGTGCTCTGGGTGCAGCAGGTCTTCAGCCTGTGTCCAGGCAGAGCCACCCAGCTCCCTCAGGCCATCCCTCTGCTTCTCAGCAGGGAA